TGTGTGTGTGTACATGCTTGTTTGTGTATATACGTGTGCCAGCTTGTGAGTACAGGCATGTTAATTGTGTCTGGGAATTTAATTGCATTACTGGTTGAGTAGATTATAAGCTACAGTATCATAACTGAGGGAGTTTGAGGTGAGTGATACAGTACAGTAGGTGTTTTCAGACTGCACCTGACACTGTGAAATCAGTCTGACCCTGCTTAACCTGATAGAAAACCTCCACTGCCTCTTATCTCTTTTCTCTGTTTGCTCTTCATTTCCACAGTCTTAAATTCTTTTTCATAAAGCGGTGCACAATCAGAGCTCTTAATTAAATTTTCTCTTTATAATTCATGAATTATGTGAGAGATTTTGATTGCAGGTTTTAGTGTGTGTGCTTGCACGCTTGATAAATTAAGACCTCTTTCAAATTTCACACCCTAAAACCAAAGCTAAAAAAAATTATGCTTTGGAGAATGGTGTAAGACCTTTTGTATAATTTTCCCACAGAGAAATGAAAGCCTGATATCATTTACTGTAGGATCTGCTTTGTGCAGTGAGAGGTGGAGGGGTGTTGCTCTACATTCTCGCTACGATTATCTTGGCTGAGGCTGGTACCTAATTAAGGTTTTATTAAGCTTTAGAAGTTGGCTGCAATAGTGTGCTGCAAGGCATCACTGTCCTCTAAAGAGGCGTTTACCAGGCATGTTTATGCAAATACACATTTAAATGCACATTAAAAAGTCGGAGTTTAGCTGTTTAATCAGCCGTCACATTATTATTTTATTATTGTTTGGTTGATGATGCCAGCTGAAATATTAATGAGCTGGTTTAAAGGAAGCCAGCGAGAGGAGCACCATAAAGTGCCTCTCTCAGCACTGAGGGAACCATGCTAGCAGTGGGGGAAGAACTGCCTAATTAAATATAAATGGCCAATTACTCCACAGACTAGAGAGGCAATGGGACATTGTTCCACAAATGAACGTTACAAGTCAAGATGCTGCTTTATTGGTGTTTATCAATTGTGAATTGTTAACGGTGAAAGAAACAGAGCTGCCTGCTTCAAAGAGTCTGGGAGGTTGAAATAATAATGCTAACAAGCATCTTTTCTAAAACCAATAAACAGGAATGTCAATGTAGGCAATTATTTGATGGTTTAATATGAATTTAAAGTCTAAACACTTACCTTGATCATGCACAAAAAGCAAACACAACCACGAGGGAGTCACAGATGCATAGGGAAAGAATGAGCAAAATGAAAAACATAAAACATGCAGTGATAGGAATTTTCCACAGGTTTTAGATTTGGAAAAATAGCATCCAACGAGTTTAAAATCCACTGATCTGAACCAAAGAATCCAGAGGATTTAACCAAGCTCGAGTCTCTTGTCTGTATCTTCAGACAGCGTGCTGCTCGTGTTGGTCTCTTACCTTTGAAATCATCATATACGATCCCAAACAACTGTCTGGCCTGGGGCTCTCCTGAGATCAAGAGTTTCAGAAGCCCTTAAGGGATGAAGGAATCTTTTTTTAAGATTTTTCTACCACATCATTCGCCTTGCTACAGTCATCTACGGTACTATACCCTCAAACAGCTGGAGCAGGTTTAACCTATAGGTTACTATCAGCACTACAGAGAGGTCATATGTATTAGGTGGATGGGATCCCCACTAGATTCTACCTTAAAAGAACAGGGTTGCTTTGTTCTATAAAGCTGACATAATCTTTACCTAGTGCAGTGTTTCTTAACTGGTTGAACAGAATCCAAAAGTTCCAAATTTTTGTATTCTATATGCAAATAACTAATGTTTGCTGCACCTGACTCAAGTTAAATCTGATTTGACAACTTAATATTTCACTGTTTGTGGACTGGAAACTGATGTCAAGACACTTTCAAGTATTCAAGTATCAGATCTTTTGACCTTGGAAACAGCAGTTGGTAAAACAATCCCCAATAACAAGCCTCCAAATCAGTGGTGAGATCTGTAGCTTTTCTGGAGCTTTTGATCTTGCAAGAAGATGATCGCCAACCGCCGTCTCCAAGGTCAAGAATTTAACTCTCAGTCCAACATGGATGAGAAGTCTTAAAGTGCTCAAAAAAAGAAGAAACGACATCTACACTTTTATGACAACTGGGCATGGGTGATTGAAAGCTCCCGAACCGCTACCAGTCCACCATGTGATGAAATAATTTTACCATCCCCCCAAAAAATTCAAACTGGAATTAAAAACTGTTATGGAAAACCACATCATGATTGTTCATGAAAATACTTTGCTTTCAAACTTCAGACTTAGAAAAAGCATATAGACCCATATAGGTAAATGGAGCTACGACTGCAATACTGTGCCAACTATTAACCTCGTCATGATAAATGTTGGGTCCCAATGTGCAACCAGTTACGAATCACTGTGGTATTATACTGCACGTTCAAATTTTACCTTTCTTTTTCTCTCTTTCTCTCTCTTCTCTGTCTTCATCGTCTTTCCCATGAGTGTGTTTTGGGCTCTCATGTCTCCCTCTTTCCCACTCAGATTTTTCAATGACTTGATGCACTACAAAGGAGCAACAACTCACAGATCAATCTGTATTGACGTCGCACAGATTATCTCGGGCTGTTTTACCAAACCAAATGCAAGAAACAACATCCAATGATTTGTGAGAAACATTTGGTAATATAGATCCCATTCTAAAGTAACTGGCATGGTATTTAGCACACTACAGAGCTATTTAATTTAAAAAGTATCATCCAAACAAATGGATTTGTTTGTTTATTTCAATGTCAAATTAACTTTCTTATTCTTATATCCACTGTTTTTTTATTTCTTGCCCTACAGTGTCAGTCATTGTCACATAAACATAGGATTTAGCCCTATAACGTATGTTGACTGACAGGCTATGATGAAGTTAAATATAAATTTAAACATATTTGTTGTTTCCACTTTCTCTTTTTTTCACTGTGAGCTGCCAACTTTAACACAAGTTTATCTCCTGTATATTAACTGCGCCATCAATAATCTACTCTAATATTGCTACCACTATAAATACCTCTCTTTTCAGCTTTTCTTTCGTTATGGTCCTCCCATCTCGCCCCGTGCCCAGATGAGGTTGTTATTTTGTGGCCATGGTCATGAGTCTCATGAACATGTCCTTCAAAATGATGGAGGAATGAAATACCACAGTTGTCATTGACAATATAACCAGCGGAAATATGAGGTATATTTTATGAGAATATTGCCATCACTACATAGAAAAGAAATACCTTTCCTTTCAGCATTTCTTTCCTCCTCCCTTCTCTCTCCGTGGCCAGATGAGGTTGTTCTGTGGCCATGAGTCTCATGTATGTGTCCCTCAAAATGGTGGGAGACTGAAATACCACAGTTGTCATTGAGGTATCAAGCAAAAACATTTATAGTAACTCTATGGTTTTTTCTCAACACTATAATAATCTCACAATGTCTACTTGTTGTTTTTGGTTGAACCTCAACAAAGTGAGCCTATAAATGCGAATCTGTCCTTGACTGAGTGACTGAGTGATGAAGTTGCACCACTTTGTCATCCAAGTTTACCCATTGGCAGTAGTCTACGTCTGCTTAACAACGTGGTTCCCACCTCAATCTTACCTTATGTATAAGCTTTTTCTTTAGCAGGCTAGAACAACCAGTGCTAGAGAGCTTATAGGTCTGCTCATAGAATCTAGAGTTATGGTACAAAACTAAAGTTTAATTTTTAATAGGCTTTGCCCTCTAAGGCTATCACTACTTGAATAAGGGTGAAGCAGGATGTGGTCCGTGCCCCACTGGGTCTGCACACACGACAACCGCCCACTTAAGGAAAAGTCGACGCCTAAATGGCACAGAGACAGTACAGTACCTGATTATCACCATGAGGGAATGAGACTAGAAAACCTCATAAAACCTACTGCTGTGAGAAGCAGAGATGATGGTTACGCACCGTAATAGTCCAGTATAGAGCATGGTAGCAGACAAAACAGCTTGCCATGCACAGAAAGGCATAAGTGAACAGTTAAAGCACTCCAAATTTCCACTTACTTTCCGTGTAACAAGTTTGCCACAATGTAGTTCATTGACCACACATTTTCTTAATCCCACTCCCGGTGGATTTCTGACCATTACCACCCGCTTCCGCTGTGAGTGTGTTACACTCCTGTCTGCTCCAGCAAGCATTCTGACCCTTAACTCCTGTACAATAGAGATTTTTTTTTGTCTTCTCCTGTCCAGCAGGTGAAAAGATGTTATTTTAATGAGAAATTGAAAACATGCCAGATTTGCCTTGCTTTGCTGTTGTTTTGTAAAACCGTGCTGTAATCTTCTTTTCAACTTTATCTGTTGACTCCAACTCCATCCTTCTGGTGGATGCAAACTAAATCCCAGGACCCGTAGTTTATTTTTTGACTGCCAGCAACAAAGTTAAAACTGCCCTCTTTTGTGAGATTTGCATTGGGTCCCAATCCCAATGCAGTCCTCTACCACACACGGTCCAGCCATATGCTAAGTTGCAACCTAGTCTTTTTTACTTGGACCTTTTCTGCTCTTGCCCTTATCTTGACTCTCAAATAAAGAGATGTCAAGTGCCAAATTAAGATTTACTACTACTGTCTACTATTTAGTGTAACACGGGCAACTTCAGCATGTGAATCTAAAAGGCAATTGCTCCCATGACATATAAAACAGATACCTTTTCTGTCATGATGCCCCTCTTCCCTGTGCCCAGATGAGGTTGTTGGTTTGTGGCCATGAGTCTCATGTCCATGTCCCTCAGACTTGTGGGAGACTGAAACACCACAATTGGCATCAACATAAGTAGCAAAAATGGATGTATATTTCTGCTGTTTCCCGTTTTTAGGCGGGCATTTTGCACTACAAGAACATGGTCATTACTATATATATATACCTGTATGCCCCTCCTCCTCCCTTTTCGGCCCGTGCCCAGTTGAGGCTGTTGTTTTGTGGCCATGAGTATCATGTCCATGTCCCTCAAAATTGTGGGAGACTGACACACCACAATCGTCACTGACATAAGTGAAAATATGAGGTACATTTTATGAAAAGATTGCCACGACTGTGAATAAACAAGATACCTTTCCTTTCAGCTTTTCTTTCCTCCTCCTCTCTTTTCTCCCCGTGCCCAGATGAAGTGGTTGTTTTGTGGCCATGAGTCTCATGTCCATGTCCCTCAAAATTGTGGGAGACTGGAACACCACAATTATCATGAACATAAGAAAAAATTACTTGTGAGATTAATTCTTAAGCTTCAATTGATCCAAAGGCTGTCATGTCACAGAAGAGACATTTCTGCTCATTTCAGTTTTTAGAATCCCGTTTTTTGGCTATAAGCTCGTAAGTTCAGCTTGCTGTAAAAGTTTAGCACTGCATAGTAAACTTCACCATCTACAAGGACATTGCCAAGATACCTTTCCTTTCAGCTTTTCCTTCTTTATGCTCTCCCTCATGCCCATGCCCAGGTGAGGTTAGTTTGTGGCTGTGAGTCTCTTGTACGTGTCCCTCAGACTTGTGGGAGACTGACACAACATTTTTAATTGATATAGCAAGCAATGACTTTGTGTTTAATTTTTCAGAGACCCATTTTTTCAGGCCTAACTAGTGGTGAAAGCTTTTCTACTGCATATTTCTATGATTATGTATGTCAACTACAGTTAGCCACAGCTACCACTGCCGTACAGATAAGGTTATACCTTTATGTTCCTCCTCGTGCCCAGATGAGGTTGTTGGTTTGTGACCATGAGTCTCATGTCCATGTCCATGTTCATCAAAATTATGGGATACTGAAACACCATAATAGTCATTATCAAGACAATCAAAAGTTTAGATACAGTTTTTGTTCTTTCAAGTTTTCGAAGGCCAATTAATTTTTCACAGTGATTTGCCAAGATTAACTCATGGTGAACTGTTTTTCTACTGCATATTTCCATCACTACATGTTAACTACAGTTAGCCACAGCTACCACTGCAGTACAGATATGATTGTACCTTTATGCTCCTCCCCGTGCCCAGGTGAGGTTGTTGGTTTGTGACCATGAGTCTCATGTCCATGTCCAAGTCCATGTCCATCAAAATTATGGGAGACTAAAACACCATAATCGTAATTATCAAGACAATGAAAAATGTAGGTACAGTTTTTGTTTTTTCAAATTATCAGAGACCAATTTTTGGTAGTAAGTTGTCAAGTATAACTTGTGGTGAAAGGTTATCTGCGGCATATTTCCATCACTATATGTTAATTACAGTTAGTCACAGCCACCGCAACAGCACATATAAGGCTATACCTCTATGCTCTTCCTCCTGTCAGGATATACCTTTATGCTCCTCCTCCCCGTGCCCAGATGAGATTGTTGTTTTGTGGCCATGACTCTCATGTCCATGTCCCTCAGACTTGTGGGAGACTGGGAACAACATCACAGTTGTCAATACAATAACAACCAAAAATCTAGTAAACTATATATAAATATGTATAAGCTTAGCCTATCTACTGCATATTTCCATCACTACAGGCAAACTACAGTATACTTGCTACCACTACATACAAAAAATACTGCTTTTCAGTTTTTCTCTCTTTTTATCTTCTACTCCCATCTACAGATAGCCACAGCCACCACTACAGTACATATAAGGATATACCTTTATGTTCCTCCTCCACCCTTTTCTCCCCATGCTCAGATGAGCTTTTGTGGCCATGATTCTCATGTCCATGTCCCTCAGACTTGTGGGAAACTGAAACCACACTGCAATTGTTAATACAAAAAAACAAAACAAGCAAAAATCTAGATATATTTATGTTTTTTTCTAATTTATTAAAGGGCAAAAGTTAAGTTTGTCTACTGCACATTTGCACAAGTAAACTATATATCAATCTACATATATTGTAGTATGTTTATATTCTCTCCACCAGTTCACATAAACATTATACCTGTGTGTATAGGTAGATGTGTGTTCTCGCCGTGCTCTAATGAAATTGTTGTGTGATGGCCATGAGTCTCGTGTCCGTGTCCCTCAGACTTGTGGGAGACTGTCCCACCATAATCATCATTGACATATCAAGGAAAAGCACCACAAAAGTTTAATTTTATTTTTGTTCTTCCTCCTCAGCATTCTAAATAATAAACAATATATATATTTGTTATTTTGTCACTAGATCCATTATTCATCCATTCCAGCTTTCTCTTTCCTTGACCTTTAGCTTCACTGTCTGTCTGAGACAAAAATATTTGTTTGTGAGGAATATGATTTGATTTCATTAGAGGAACGTTATGGGCTCCTCTGTATAAACAGATTTTTTGATTAATATCCTTTTTTTTTGCTATGTCTGCTTGTGTTGCACTTTGTTGCATTTTGTTTTTATCAATGCGCCAACTTCTCCACCTCAACCAAGTGTAAAACTTGACTTTTTAAAACATTTTTGGTGTTTCCACTGCAAATGGAAACTGTGCTTAAAAACGGGTAGCTGGAAACACACTTACTGAACAGACAGATGCACATAGTAACATTTCTGCTGTTTTCAGTTTACAGTTTATAGAGGCTGTTTTTATGCCGTGAGTTGCAAAGTTTAACTCCATAATAAAAGTCTATCAAATGCAACTGCATCACAAGTAAACCACAGTATGCAACAGTTCCTCCATTAAATAAAACAAATACCTTTATTTTCAGCTTGTCTTTCTTTATGCTCATCCTTCTCCCTTTCCTCCCCGTGCTCAGATGAGGTTGCTGTTTTGTGGCCATGAGTCTCATGTACGTGTCCCTCAAAATTATGGGAGACTAACACACCACAATCATCACTGTCATAACAAGCAAAAATATGAGTACATATTTTATGAGAAAATTGCCACCACTACACATGAAACAGATACCTTTTCTCTCAGCTTTCTCTTCCACCTCCTCCCTTTTCACTCCGTGCTCAGATGAAGTTTTGTGGCCATGAGTCTCATGCATGTGTCCCTCAGACATATAAGGGACTGCCGCCACAAGTCATCATTGCCATAAGCAAAGCCAGTGAGCAAGCAGAAATAATTTAGATAGGGCACATGTGTTGCTGTCAGTTGCCATGTTTAACTAGTGGTAAAAGTTTATCTACTGCATATTTCCATCACTACAATTTAACTACAGTTAGCCACAGCCAGCACTACAGTAGCTATAAGGTTGTACCTTTATGCTCCTCCCTGTGCCCAGATGAGGTTGTTGGTTTGTGACCATGAGTCTCATGTCCATCAAAATTATGGGAGACTGAAACACCATAATCTTCATTATCAAGACAATCAAAAGTTTGGATACAGTTTTTGCTGTTTCAAGTTCTGAAAGGCCAATTTTTCTTGATGATTTGCCAAGATAAACTCATGAACTGTTTTTCTACTGCGTATTTTCCATCACTACATGTTAACTACAGTTAACCACAGCCAGCACTACAGTAGCTATAATGTTGTACCTTTATGCTCCTCCCCATGCCCAGATGAGGTTGTTGGTTTGTGACCATGAGTCTCATGTCCATGTCCAAGTCCATGTCCATCAAAATTATGGGATACTGAAACACCATAATCTTTATTATCAAGACAGTCAAAAGTTTAGATACAGTTTTTGCTCTTTCAAGGTTGCACAGGCCATTTTTTCGCAGTGATTTGCCAAGATTAACTCATGAACTGTTTTTCTACTGCATATTTCCATCACTACATGTTAACTACAGTTAGCCACAGCTACCACTGCAGTACAGATAAGATTGTACCTTTATGTTCCTCCCCTTGCCCAGATGAGGTTGTTGGTTTGTGACCATGAGTCTCGTGTCCATGTCCATGTCCATCAAAATGATGGGAGACTAAAACACCATAATGGTCATTATCAAGACAATCAAAAATGTAGATACAGTTTTTGTTGTTTCAGGTTATCAGAGGTGGTAAGTTGTCAAGTATAACTCGTGGTAAAAGGTATCTAATGCATTTCCATCACTACACAACTACAGTTAATCACAGCAACCACAACAGCACATATAAGGCTATACCTCTATGCTCCTCCTCCCCGTGCCCAGATGAGGTTGTTGTTTTGTGGCCATGAGTCTCATGTCCATGTCCCTCAGACTTATGGGAGACTGAAACCACACCACACCACAATTGTGATTGAAATAACAAGCAAAAATAGATAATAAGGTAAATTATATATGCAGTTTTCTCAGAAAACAAAAACACTATGACACTACTGTTGGGGTCAAACTAAGATTCAGCACTATAGCTTAAGTTTGTTGTTTTCCAATTTCATGGGACCATTCTCTTCTTTAGGTTTCCGTGTTTAACTTTTGGGGAAAGTTTAGCCTATCTACTGTACTGCATATTCCCATCACTACAGGCAAACTACAGTTAGCCACAGCCAGCACTACAGCCCATATAAGGATGTACCTCTATTCTCCTCCTCCTCCTCCCTTTTTTGCCCGTGACCAGATGAGGCTGCTGCTTTGTGGCCATGAATGTCATGTCCATGTCCCTCAGATGTGTTGGAAACTGAAACACCACAATTGTGATTTAAATAACAAGCCAACACTTCTTTGCAACCTAAACAACCAATAAACTAATAATCCATCTATACCAAATTTAAGTTCACCAATGGGCAATAATTTGATACATTTCTAATCCATTCCAGTTTACACTGGACCTGTTAAAGATTTAGCAGCACTTCTAAAGTAAGTATAAGGTAAATAAGAATATACCTTGCAAATATTCATTTTGGTCTACTGCACATGTGAACAACAAGTAAACTACAGTATATAAATCTACATATATTGTAGTAGATTTATATACTCTCCACCACTACACACATAAACAATACCTGTGTGCTCGATTTTTCTTTCTTTCTCCTCCTCCCTTTCCTGCCCGTGCTCGGATGACGTTTTGTGGCCATGAGTCTCATGTACGTGTCCCTCAGACTTGTGGGAGACTGACACACACCATTTTTCATTATCAAGCATGCTGCTTCTAGTTTCTAGTTTTCATGAGCCTGTTTTTTGCTTTTAAGTTGCCACGTTTGATTTTTTAAAAGTTTATCTACTGCCTATTTCTGTCACTATTGTTATTTACAGGTTGCTATAGCCACAACTACTGTTCAAGGATATACCTTTATGCTCCTCCTCCTCGTGCCTTTTCTCCCCGTGCTCAGATGAGGTTGTTTTGTGGCCATGAGTCTCGTGTGTGTGTCCCTCAGACTTGTGGGAGACTGACACACAACAACAGTTTTCAATGTCAAAACAAGCAAAAATGTCAGAAATGCATGCTATTTTTGGTCTAGGTTTAGGGTTATTTTCGGTGTTCAGTTTTTTTAAACTCATATGAAAGCTTACTGCTGTTTAAAGCATACTGCATATTTCAGCCAATGCATTTTAACTACAGCTATAACTACAACTACAGTACATATAAAAGAGATACCTTTGTGCTCCTCGGCCTCCCTTTCCTCCCCGTGCTCAAATGAGGTTGTTGTTTTGTGGCCATGTGCCTCATGAACGTGAACCTCAGACATGTGGGGTACTGGAACACCATAATTGTCATTAAGAATAGGGTTAGGGTCTATTTTTGGTGCTGTATTGACGTTAACAAGCAAACATTTTGATACATTTCTTCTGTTTCTGGTTTTCAGGGGCCCATTTTACGCCGTAATTTATCTTACGGTTAGTTAGTTAGTTAGCTTGGGGGGGAAAGTTTATCTACACTGTATCACAAGTAAATTACAGTATGTAAATCTAGGAGAACATTGCCTCCACTACTTATGAAACAAATACCTTTCCTTTGAGCATGTCTTTCCTCCCCGTGCTCAGATGAGGTTTCTGTCTTGTGGCCATGAGTCTCGTGTGTGTGTCCCTCAGACTTGTGGGAGACTGAAACACCACAATTGTCATAAGACTAGATATATTTCTGCCATGTTTTGCAGTGAGCTACTAAGTCTATCCCGTCTGAAAGCGTATGTAGTGCATATTTCAATTTTGCTTTAGCTACAGCTATAAATACAGTACAAAACAAGGATATACCTTTATGCTCATCTTCCTGCCTTTTCTCTCCGTGCTCAGATGAGGTTGTTATTTTGTGGCCATGAGTCTCATGTACGTTTCCTTCAGACATATGATGGGAGACTGAAACACCATAATTATCTAAGTAAAAATCAAGATATATTTCTGACATATTTTGCTGTGTATTGCAAAGTAGATTTTTTATCACACATCTGAACAAGTAAATTACAGTATATAAATCTACATATATTGAAGTAGATTTATATACTCTCCACCACTATACATTAAACTATACCTGTGTGCTCAGTTTTTCTTCCTTTCTCCTCCTCCTTTTCCTCCCCGTGCTCAGATGAGGTTTTGTGGCCATGAGCCTCATGTAAGTGTCCCTCAGACTTGTGGAAGACTGACACACAGCATTTTTTCATCATCATAGCACGCAAAAAACTTCCATACATTTCTGATGCTTCCCATTTTTAGTGTTCAGGAAGCATTTATTCCTATAAGTTGCCATGGTTAATTTATGTACTATATATTTCCATCACTAGAGTTAACTACAGCCACCACTACAGTGCATATATACCTTTATGCTCCTCCTCTTCCATTTTCTCC